CCAGCTTAGACCATCTTCATTAGAAGGGTAGATCAGGAAGTAGACTGGGGAGTAATTTGTTTTAGTGCATAGCTTGACATTTAAGAAATTCATTACCTTAACAGAATGGGCCATATTTTTTCAACAAATGAGTTGTTCCTGGAGCAAGTGAAGGGCAAGTCAGACTCTTTCAAGGTTTGCCTTAACACTTTTAGGTCAAAGAGTACAACACATGAAACCTATACCCGTAGAGAATTGATGCCAGTTATAAACATGCCTCATTTGGACTGTGAAATACTAGAGAAACTGCACACAGCTTTCCTTGTTTATTTCCCAGCAACTGAATGACTTTCCTTTCTCATCAGAGGGTTTTATTACTGTTTGTTGTGCTCTGTGTAGGTCTAAGGTCCCAAAGCTGCTCTAGGATTGTTATAGCCATTATTTACATCTTCTCCATTTTTAAGGTTCATGCTACTTGGCAAACATGTGTGGAATACCTTCTATGCCTTAGTCCCTGGGCTAGGACCTAAGGAGAGGTTTTCTTCTTAGTGAGTGAGTCCCTCGTGGATAGTTGGGGAGACCAGCATAGCAGGCAGCGCGGGCATGGTATGGGAAGTACCGGAATTGCTGAGAGAGCACGTGGGCAGGGATCACAGAGGCTTCCTAGGAACTGGACACCCCGGCGGAGTCCAGAGATTGAGTGGATCTTGCAAGAAAAGCGGTCATTAAAACTTTCGCATCCTTCCCCTTCTCTTTCCTTTTTACTTTTCCCTTCTCCTCTGGCTGCCGCCAGTCTCCTCCACCCCCACAGCTGCTCAGCCTGTCTGTCCCTTGTACCCCATTTCTCTCCAGCTCTTTTGGCGATTCTTCAGGACTTTTCCACACTGGGACTCCCCAAGCAGCTCCGTCCACAACAGGGAGAGCAGAACGCGTGAGGGCGCAGGAGAGGACCATGCGTTTCCTCTCTTGTGATGCTGGAAGCTGTCACTGCTTTTCTCTAGATGTCTTAGCCACACCTTTCATTCCAGATCATCTTGGTAAGGTAGTGATAGAAATAGATTAGGGGTGGGGAACTGGCAGGTCGTGGAGGGAAGTCACTCAGTGTGACCCCCCAATCCCAGTGTTCGCTCAGCTCCTTCGAGTGGCTGATACCATTGTCAGGAGAAGCAGGCTCCTTTGTGGGTGCTTATGTCCCCAATAAAACACAGCTTCAGTAGACATTCAATAGAAATTGAGTTGTGGAGGTGCCAGCAAGCGGTAATAAGGTCAGTGATGCTATAAATGCCATTGAATATGCTCTGATGCCCTTATTGATTTTTTTTTTCTTCACTAAAACCCTATTACTCTCAAGCAGAGGAAATAAAAATGGGGTGACTATCACTTTATCTAAAGGAGCATGCCCCCTTCTTCACCTCTCCAGATGTGCCCAAACCTGGATTCACTTTACTGACATCTTGAGGTGTGTTGTCAGAGTCTCCCAAATCATCTACCGAAGACCCTGGCAGATTGACAGAGCCCAGTCTGTGTGTGAAAGGCTTCACAAATGGTGAAGAGGTATATGAACATCAGTTGTTTTTGCATCTGTGATGGCAGGAAAGGCCCTGAATTCCGTAGCTCTCCATCACTGTTTGACATTGAAGAGGAGTTTCCTTCCTGTCGCCAGCTTATCTACATTTTCCTTGTCTTTTCTGAAAAAAAAAAAAGAAAAGAAAATTATTTATTTGACTGTACCAGGTCTTTATTGCAACACATGGGATCTTTGGTGGCATTGTGCAGCGTCTCTGCAGCATGTGGGATCTAGTTCCCTGCCCAGGGATCGACCCCAGGTCCTCTTCATTGGGAGCACAGAGTCTTAACTGCTGGCCCACCGTACTTGTCTTCTTTGTCTTCATTTTCTCCCCAGAAAATGTTGATGCTTGCATGCCTGCTGTAATCTGAGCATCACTGCTAGAGGTAGCATTTTCAGCACTGGCACAGCACCCTACTCCCATGGCCCAGGAGCACTCATCACCCATTCTGTTGACCAGACCTCTTGCTGAGGACCTCAGAGCTCTCAGTCAATCAAGGCTTGAATTGGGGTTCTTTGTATTCCATCCACTGTGATGGCCTTGTTCATCTAACCAACTGTCGGAATGCTAGCGGACAGGTCTCCCCTGTGGCTAACATACTCTGGTCTTCTTGACAGAATGTTCTTGGTGTCCACCTTCTAGTAATAGGTGGTAGAGTTGGAGGGGAGAAAAGCCCCCCCCCCCCCCCCCGAGTTCTCCTTCTTGGATCCAGTGAGTCTCAGATTTTTGACCTTAAGCTCACAGCAGAGGCAGGCTTCCCAGATGGCTCAGTGGTAAAGAACCCGCTTGCCAAGGCAGGAGCCACAGGAGATGTAGGTTCTATCCTTGGGACAAGAAGATGCACTGGAGAAAGAAATGGCAACCCACACCAGTATTCTTGCCTTGGAAGTCCCATGGACAGAGGAGTCCAGCAGGCTACATTCCATGGAGTCACAGAGAGTCAGATGTGACTTAGCAACTAAACAAGAGCAACAACGCAGCACAGGCAGCCACTGGGTGTCGAGAACCTTGGCAGGTTTGGGTCTCCCTGTCCTCGGCCCCTGGTGCCATTAAATCCTCCTGATTATTGCTACTACCCAGAGACCTGTCTTACCGGTGAGCCCATTTCCTGCACAGCAGACCCAGAGGCCCCAGCCAGAAGTCAGCTAATGTTTAAAAAGGATACAAGGCTGGCTGCTGCATTTCCTGTCTCTTTGGATTGATGCTCTTTGGCTATTTTGCTGATGTCATTGTACATCTGTTTTTTTGGGAGTGAGTGTAACAAGGAAGGAGAATGGTTAATCTAGCAAGAACTCATTACACCATGAATGATGAAGGGTAGGCTCCTGTTTTATTCCTGTTTGATTTGTTTGCTTCATTGGGGAAAACAAATGATCATGTCACCCTATGGAGAATTTCGCTTTCTCTTTGACATACAAATAAACAGCCTCCCACGTTTCATTTATTTTTGCTACTGCTGGAATGGTTGATTAAAAAAAAAAAGCCATGTTGTTGTGCCACTTTTCTGTATCATGACCTTCACTACTGGATAGGAAAAGGAAACCAACAAAATATGTATATTTTTTTAAGAAATGGAGGATGATTCACTACAGATGCCCTTATAAATCCAGGTCCATTAAAGCGAGAGAGGTGAGGTGATGACAAAACCAAACTAAACAACAGTGAGGAGGGCATGAGTCTTCATTTTCTTTCTGGTAATATGTCTCAGAGATGAGGATTCAGTTTTCATTCATTTATTGAAAAAAATTAAAGTATCTCTTTCTCTTCTTGTCTTCATATAGGAAAACATTCCTGGTAATGGAACTAAAATTCATTGTCTTGATGTGGTTCAGTCTTTGGCATATAAAAGACATGGGAGGTGTGGGTTATCAGAGGGTTCTAGATGCTGACTAACTTGGATTTTTCCCAGAACCAGTACTAACTGGCAATTCTGTGGCCTCTGTTTCCTAGTAGTGTGTTTGTTTTCTGTTTATATTCTATTGCATGTGTGCTATGTTACTGCAGTCATGTCTGACTCTTTGTGACCCATGGACACATTTGTGACCCATGGACTCTTTGTGACCCGCCCAGGCCCCTCTGTCCATGGGATTCTCCAGGCAAGAATACTGGAGTGGGTTGCCATGTCCTCCTCCAGGGGATCTTCCAGAGCCAGGAGTGAACCCGTGTCTCTTAGGTCTCCTGCATTGGCAGGCAGGTTCTTTACCGCTAGTGCCACCTGGGAAGCCCTTCTATTCCTTTATTATCTGGCTTTTGGAGCCCAACAAAAAGGTGCCTCTGTTTTGTGATATTTCCATTGCTGGCCACTATCTGTGTTCAGCCAGACCTGATTTGAACAGTGGGTTTGCAGACCCATCTCTTGAGGGTGTGTGGATATTTAGCAGTTGAGGGTACAGATTAGGAGGTCTTGACATCCTGTTGCTAGGTTACTGAACCCTGAATTACTGATCCCTCAACACAGTGTCTGTGTTCTAAAATTGCTGTTTGTGGTTGAAGGAGCAGCTGTACACACTGGTGGGGGAGGGTGGGGTGGGCCAGAGTGAGATAAAATGAATAGTTAGACACAGTCCATCAAAAAATAATTACTGTAAGGAAATATTTGTGGCAAACTAGGGAAGAGAGATTGCTGCTCCTCCTTCCTCCCCCTGCGACACTGGAAGAGCTATTTTGTTCATGTCAGGGAGTTTCTGGGTAAGCGTTTATAGAAGGCCGTGATGATAACTCAGTCATGAACTAGACCTTGTAATAAACATCAACGGATGCCATTGTGGAAGCTGCAGCCAGCCCTCCTGATCTGGGGTGGGGATGGGGGATGTCAGTCTTGGCTATATGTTTTTCTTTCTTTGCTTTTTTATTCCTTTTCTGTTAAGTTTTCCCTTCTATTCATACTTTTTTTTAATCTTATGGGCAAAAGTTTCTATTTAAAAATAACCTTTATTTAGAGAGTAATTTTACCAAATTATGGTGTAATTATACTATCACCATTCGACCTTCTTAAACAGCCACTAATATTCAGAAATTTCAACTGCACTTTTGGCAAAAGTTGTTTTTTGTAATTCCTGTAATTCTCTCCTTCTGTATACTTTTGCTTCTTAGCTAACACGTCAAGTAACAAATATTTATTAATCTCCTACTTTGTGTAAATAATTGCATTGGATCAATGACACAGAAAGCATGACTTGCCTTGAAGAATTTATAAGTGGGATAGGATGCCAAGACAAAAATGCACAAAAGTTAGCAATGTAAAACAGCAGTGCAGGAGATGTCCCACGACCATGTATGTAATTATGTCCTAAGAGGAGAGGTAAGTGCTGACTTCGGAAGAAAGGGGATTCCCCGAGGCCGGGTTACACTAGGATGGAAAGATAACTGTGGACTCGTAGGAACATAGACAGGTGATGAATAGGCCATGTGGACACTTGCTGATGAGTTTAGAGCAGATCTGTGTGGCCTGGAGCAAGGTTTCTTAGAGGCGGTAAGACTTGTTCTGGACCTTGAAGGATGGGTAGAATTTGAATAACAGGTGGAGATGAATAACAGGAGGGCTTTCTATCTAAGGTGAGCCTATGAGCAGAGGCATTTCGGGTTAGAAATATGTTCAGGGCTTAGTAGCTAGAGACTAGATTGGCTAGAGCAATATGCCTGGAGGAAGCTGGATGAGATTGGAGATGTGGATGGAAAGCCTTGATTTCCATGAGGAGTTCAAACTTTCTTCTGGAGGACAACTCCATTCCTTATTTATTGCCTGAGCACATATCCTCCGCTAAGCGCTATTGGAAGCTAGGGATACAGTAGGAAGCAAGAAACCCATCATCTGTATCCCCCAAGGAGTTTATGCTCTAGACTTATGGGACCAGTAGACAGACAGTTAGGAATTAAGAATATTCTGCCCTTTATGACAGCTATGAAGGGGGCTCTCAGGTCTTCTGAGACCTCTGGGGAGTGACAGCTTATGCAAACCAGAATTTAGCCAGACAAAGGTGAGCAGAGAGAACCTTCTAGGCAGAGGATAGCCAGCACAGAGATGGGGAGATGAGGCCAGCCTGCTGCTCACTGTTTTGAAGAGGGTTTATTGAGTTCGACTCTGTGTCTAGCTGGGCTTTCAACATAACAGGGGAGACAAATACAGAAGGTGGTTTCTGCCCCAAAGCACTTAGTGTCTATTTAGAGAGAGAGGCCTGAGAAATGCAGAATAGTTGACTCTATGAGTAAGAGTTTAGGAAAGAGAAAATTGAAGGAAGTTGTGAAATGGTATGAAGCTTCTTCCTGGAAAAGTAAAGGCTTAAGCAGAAGTAGAGAGGCGGGCTTGTGAGCAGAGTATTGAAGGAGAAGGGTGGTCTATGAGACCCACCTGATGTGATGAAGAGGATGATACTTTGGAGCAGCAGGAAGAGGAAACAGTAAGTCAATGCATCTGGGTCCTAAGGGACCCTGGGTTAGTCACCTGAACTCCTCAGTCTCCAGTCTTCTCATCTGCGAAGTTCAGAACCTTGACCTCAGTATCTAGCTTGAAAGTCCAGGTATCTCAGGCTTTACCCCAGAGGCATTAATGAGTCTTGGAGGGTTTGGGGCCAGGGGAGGGACTCGATGGAATCAATGCACTAAGAATCTTAATTTGTCTTTGTTGTAGAAAACTAATTAATGGATAATTACTAACTTATGAGAAGTACAAGTTTTTTTACTTAAATTTTTAATCATGTTCTGATGTTTTTAAAACTGTCAATGGGACCATCCTAATGTCCATTGGACATGGCTTTTTAAATTTTTTCCTTTCTCAGAACAGCAAGTGAAGTGCAAGTCACTCAGTCGTGTCCGACTCTGCAACTGTGTAGTCCATGGGATTCTCTAGGCCAGAATACTGGAGGGGGTAGCGTTTCCCTCCTCCAGGGGATCTTCCCAACCCAGGGATCAAACCCAGGTCTCCCACGTTGCAGGCGGCTTCTTTACCAGCTGAGCCACAAGGGAAGCCCTTGAGCAGCAAAGACACAGCAAAAACTACGGCCTAGAAAATGCTGGTGCGTAGTGAGAAGCTGAGTCCAGAACATGGCTTACAAATACAACTTTGAGTTTGAATCCTAAAAATTCTTTAAAATTTTCAGGGAAATCTTGGAATGAGAAAATTGATGTCTTTTACACACGTCAGTATTTTTGCCTGCAGAATCCCATGGAGAGAGGAGCCTGGCGGGCTATAGTCCATAGCGGCACAAAGAGTCGGACACCACTGAAGCGACTTAGCATGCACACACATTTTTGTAACACCGTTCCTGGGGTGGTAATGGCAGTGATATAATATAGGTGATGTGGGGGTGACATCTTCCCCGACACAGGGATATCAGACAGCCTACCTGATATGCCTTTGTCATATCCAGGACCAAAACCCCCTCAGCCTGGACCCCCTAGAGATCCCAGCCTGACCATCCCTAGAGATGACAGCTGAGTAAAGGCCTTGTTAGAATAGAATGTGGTCAGGTTCTAAATGTAATATTTCTGCCATATCTCTTTCCAGTAGAAGTGTTTATCATCAAGCCATGCATTTAGCTTTTTATTCAGATGAAGACTTGAAACCCGCATGTGTCAGGCTGGAACCGAAGGTGGATCTCTGGAGAGCGTTAGTGTCCAGAGGTGCTGGCTGGGGCCACTGGACGCTGAGCCTTGGTCTCCTGTGGGCAGGCCCTAGTTTGGTGGCTCCTGTGTTGTCTGGTCCTACTGAGCTTGTAGCTCTGGTCTCTTTTTTTAAGTTCATTTTTCCGGATAAGTGGGAAGGAACATCATGTTCACTAATTATGCTACTTCAAATGGGCTGATTTCAAATAATTTTTTAAGCAGACTGCAAATTTGGGTAACATTTGCAAGGTCATCATAGCTCGTAACCTGTAACCCTAGATGTTCCTTAATAGTTTCTCAGTGACTGAAGATGAGTGTCTAGGCTAGGGAAGAGCTCCTTGTCCTCTCTTTATGTGTTTGTGGTCTCAAACCCCCTAAACATCACTGAAATGATTGTAGGTGCATAGAAAGACCCCCCAGTGCAGAGTCAGAAGCCAGAGAATAGCATCTGCTGGTACATCAGGAAGCAGTGGCTATTTCTCCCCATGACTTCGTCCTCCTGGGTCTGTTCTCTCAGGTTCTTACCTTTTGTTTTCTTTAAGTAGATGATCACACGGAATGTATTTTTTGGCCAAGCTCTACACAATTGATGAAGTTCCCAAAGTCTTCTGCCTTTCTTGAGAGCAGCATGAGAACTGAAGTGCTTTTTTTTGTTTTTTTGTTTTTTAACTCAGTAGGTTAAAGGGGCATTGATTTGTGCTACCTGAAATGGTATTTATACTTTCAATTTGTTTGGCCCTCTGAGGACATCTTCTGTAAATAGTTCTTTGTCATGGAAAGCTCAGCAGAGATTTAAATTACGGCAAAAGCAAAAACAAACCTTTGATTTTTCAGATGGTTGAGTTTTAGAAGCGCTGCTCAACATCTTTGGATTCTAATTGACAGTCAGGAAATGCACATCAAGGTCTGGCTGACTTACCCATTTTGGAATCTTCGGTCCCTAGTGAAATGTTGAGAACTAAACAAGTTACCAAAAAAAAAAAAGATTGTTGAAATAAATAAGCAGCCCAATTTTCTGGGGTGGATTAGGGACAACTGTGGGTGTGTGTGCTTAGTCACTCAGTCTTGTCTGACTCTTTGTGACCCCATGGACTGTAGCCCACCAGGCCCCTCTGTCCTTGGGGATTCTCCAGACAAGAATACTGGAGTGGCTGCCATGCCCTCCTCCCAACCCGAATCAAACTGGGGTCTCCTGCTTTGCAGAAAGAGTCTTTGCCAGCTGATCTACCAGGGAAACCCAGGGACAACTATACAAATGCCAAACGCTTCCAGAATTCCATTCTACTAGTAAGTGTTGTATATAAGTCTCTGTCTTTTTAGAGAGCAGATACTGAACATAATTTTAAGTGGTCTATAATAGCTCAGATGAACACTTTTAACTGTAGCTATTGGCAATATATGCTAAAGACGTCCCTGTCCATGCAGGTGACCTAGGACCTGGGGCGGAGGAGAGCTCCCTTCCTTAAAAGTCCCCCCATGTCTCTTTGTGAAAAGAGGTTTCCAAGAGAATTCGTCTGCTCAACATCTATTGCAGACCTACTGTGTGTCTGACCTGTGCTGGAAGGAATATAGAGAGGAATAATTAGGACATAGTCGTGACCTTGGAAGCCTGGCTAGTGAAGGAGAGAGGCATATAAACATATAAGAGGGGAAGAAGGGAGTGGCAGTGACCCAGCTGTGGCCAGGTTAGGGAAGCTCACTGACCTTCAGCTCGTCCGCACACAGCGGCCTCTGCCTTCAGAGCCCTGGGGTGTCCCCACGGGGGCTGGCCTGCCCACCCCCAGCGCTGCAGAGACACGGAGCTGCAGGGAGACCATGAGCCTCTCCTGCTGCAGAGCTGCTGTCCCTTGGTTTCCAGCTGTATTCCATCTGCCTGCTTATCTTTGCTTTTGTCCCTAAGAAGAGCTAAGCTGCCACAGCTGACCTCTCATCTCTCTTCTGTCTCTTCTTTCTAGTCCCTTTTGCCCCTGCCCCGTTCTTTGCAAAGTTTATCACCATCACAGTCATGATGATGGTGGTGAGAGTGACAGTGACTGTCATGTATTGATTACTTACTGATTGCCAGATGCTGTGCTAAGCTGTTTACGTATATCATCTCATCTACTCCCTCAAAATTTATGTGATCTTATCCATCTTATAAATGAGATCTCAAGGCCCTCTGAAGTCAATAACTTGCCCAAAGCCACCCTACTCCTTTCCTTTACAAAATCACAAAATACTGGAGGTGATCTTTGCATCACCAGAATTTTTATTGTGCATGTATAAGAGAGAAATTGAGCCCTTCACCAACAAAAAGTTTTTATCTATTTGCCTTCTCTTGGTTTTCAGGGCATTTCCAGAAATGGAGCTGTTCTGGATAGAACTTGAAGGTTCTAGCAGGCAGCCAAAGCTTTCTCTTAGGGACACTCATTTCAGTGAATAGCCATCTGCCCAGCAGGAAAGTGATGGATTTACTCAATCACTAGATCATTGCTGGCTTCTCCTCAGACCTGGGATTGGCCTGAGGCAAAGCACAAGGAAAGAGATCATAGGCCAGAGTTTGCAGTGGTCTCTGATGGATGGGTTCACTTATTGTGGCAGGGAGAGAAAAAAAGAGGAAAGAGGTTGTTGTGGGAGGAAAGAGGGATGTGCCTTTAGATTTTGAGAGAAATACTTTTTCCATTTCTAGCGTTTAGATCTTATCAAAGTGTTGCTTCATTACTTTGCTGAAAGTTTTTTATAGTTCTGAGGATATGAAACATACACATACTCAAATATTAGAACCAAAATCCACAAATGAAATATCAGCTGGCTTTTTTATTTTTAAATGGTTCTCACATTTTCTCCTAATGGTTAGTTTAGGTAATTCATATCTTATGTGTTGGTTGGTCATATTTCTTTTTTATCTACCACAGTAATCTGTTTAAGGCTGAAGTTTAGAGATTAAATTGAATCAGAAATGTAGAACACACTAGCCTTGTATAAAAGTTGTCTTTGTAATTCAGTGTGGAAAACACCCCGTGTGCTTTCCCAGTATGTGCATCAAAGGACAGTGGCATTCAACTCTTGTCTTCAGCACCACAGAAGTAAGACCGAGATTTCCAAGGAATGTTTCCCTAGTGGCTCAGCTGGTAAAGAATCTGCTTGCAATGTGGAAGACCCAGGTTCAATCCCTAGGTCGGGAAGATCCCCTGGAGAAGGGAACAGCAACCCACTCCAGTATTCTTGCCTGAAGAATTCCATGGACAGAGGAGCCTGGCAGGCTGCAGTCCATGGCATCACAAAGAGTGGGACACGACTGAGCGACTGTCACACAATCCAGCTGCAGTTCTGTCGTAGCTTTTGGTGTTAGAGGATCAGCAGCTCACAACATGTGTTTCACTGTCCTCTTCACCAGTAAATGAGGGTCTCTCACCCAGGGTCTGCTAAGGGCAGCACATTATGCTGGCTGTTTCTCCATCTCTTGTTGCATTAAACAAAGCTGAGAACCTCAGTGGTGGTCCCGGAGACCCTGGGTTCAATCTGTAGTCTGGGAAGATTCCACATGCTGGAGTGCAAATAAGCGTGAGAGAGCCTCAGCTACCAAGCCCACATGGCCTGGAGCCCATGCTCCACAGCAAGAGAAGCCCGCACACCACAGCTCGAGAGTAGCCCCTGTTGGCTGCCACTGGAGAAAGCCCACACACAGTAACAAAGACCCGGCGCAGCCAAAAATAGATAAATAGCTGAGACAAGCACTAATTTAATTAGCTTGAAATATGCTGTGACTTCAAAGAACATCGCCCATCATTTCTTCCCCTGCAGTGTACATTAGTAGTTGGAATTTTATTTTACTTTATTATGTTTATGATCTGTTAGCCCTGTCTGAACGCTAGCCCTTCAAAGGCAGGAATCATGTCTGTTCTTCTACAATATGTCTCAACACACAGGTCACCCAGTTCGTCCTTCACTGGCCATTTGGGAAGACTCATGATTTTTTTGTGCTTAGATTAAAATCAGATTTGCCCTTTTAGTACTTAGAACTTACATGTTCTAGTCATTTTTTGATCTTTATTCTTTCCTTTCCATCGGTTTTTCTCTCAGTTTCTCCAGGGCCACATCTGGGATCCCTCTGGGCAAGCTGACTGCCCCCAAAGCTCCTGAAAAGCCACGAGGCTGAGAAGTAATGGCAGGCACGTGGCAGAGCAGAGTGCACAACAACAGAAGATTACCGTGCATTTATGAGTGCCTTGCAAAGCATGCTCTAATCTACCTAGATTTCCAAAAAAAATCCATAAAAGAGGGAGAACATCTGATATTATTAAGATACTAAGGAAGTCACATAGATTTGTCCCAAGTGACATGATGAGCCGGGAGCACAGCTGGCAAAAGATGCCATTCATGGGTGTCTTGGTATAGAAGGTTCCTCACTGACACAGGTTGGAAACTTCCTGGAAATCCCTTTGGTATTCCAAGTCCTGAAAGTGGGAAAGGGCTTCCCAGATGGCACAGTGATAAAGAACCTGCCTGCCAATACAGGAGACTCAAGAGACGTGGGTTCGATCCCTGGGTCGGGAAGATCCCTTGGAGTAGAAAATGGCATCCTGCTCTAGTGTTCTTGCCTGGAAAATTCCACGGACAGAGGAGCCTGATGGGCTGCAATCCATGAGGTTGCAAAGGGTCAGACCCAACTGAGCACACACAAAGAAGAGGGAAAAAGTAGAATTCAAAGTCCAGGTATATCTGTCACTGGCTTGATCACAGAGGAACAAATCTAGGAACAGCATAATTCTTCTGCATAGGTTCACCCTGGTGTGGATGGGGAGCCTTTATTGGGATCGTGTGTTCCTCTCTTGCCTTCCCAGAAATAGTGTCAGCCATGCAAGAACTTGTGTGAACACAAATAGTCAATACAGGAATAGAGTTTTTAGCTACAGGGTAAAGGCACCAAACTCTAAATTCCTTAGCTGAAGAACAGTGATACCACAAGCTTTTTCCATCCAACTCTCTGTAAGAAACATTTTTAAAAATTATTTTTACCTATGAAAGGCAGAACAGAAAAAAGAGAAAATAAGGTGGCCAAGCCTTGTTCATTTTTTCACTGGATATGCAATTGAAATCAACACCCATGGGCCAAAACATAATTGGCAATAATATTTAGACCTCAAAGGGCTTCCTGAAATATTTGCGGGAAAAAAATTGCAAGTATATCTTAACTGGGTAAGTGTTGAAACAAGTTTGTAAATATTGAGTCTAGGTAAGAAATGGCCTTTTTATAAGTGGTAATTTCATCATTCTTCTGCATCACTTGGATATATGTTCAGATAGATCATAGAATCAAAGGAAAAGGCTCAGAGAGAGGAAGCCGAGCCTTGGTACTGAGAAAGATGTGTGAGGCCTGAGACCAGAGCTCAGCATCCTCACTCCCCCTCTAATTCTCTTTCCACTTGTCACCTTGCCTCCTTGTCCCAATCCCCCACTGCAGAAATCCATCAGAAATGTATCATCTTACATAGGACTTACTATTGTTGTGTTTTTGAGAGATATCTCTGTACAATTATTATTTGAAAAAATGAGTTTTCCCATAGAGAAAACAGAAGCAGATATTCCTATTTCTTTGGCATTAATAGCATGTTGTCAATTGCCGTGTCACCAAATGAGTGTGAGGCGAGGAATGAATATCTTTTGTGATGCCAGCAAGTCCTGGGTAATAGGGAGGTTTGACTTTTCCAGACTATCCGCATGTCAAATGTGGCATCTCTTTGTGTATTATCTTTAACATGCACAATGAAATGTGAAATGGTGTTAACAGTAGCCCAAGGATACCAGAGCTTCAAAATGAGAAATCCCTTTTAGCAGTCTTTCTTCTTCCCCCCAGTGGGCTGCTGTATTAACACTCATTACAGCGAAGCAGAACAGATGGGCACGCAGACTGATTAGTTATTTATATATATATTTTTTTCTTTGTGGAGCTTGGATGTTGGCTCTTTCTTCAATAAAAGAAAGGAGTTTTTAGATGTGGTTTTGTCTTGATTTCCCTTTTTAATCAAAGGAAGAAAGGGGGGACACTTTGCTCCTGATCTATTAATAATGTGCCTATTATCTTTTTCTTAACTGCTGGCTTCATCGCTCTCTGCGTGCCCATTGCAATCAGAATTCAATTTTTCTCCAATCCTCCAAGCTCCATGTGGTGCCTTCGTGTTCTTTCTGGCCTAGGATTTCTTTATGGAGTTTTATCATTTTTAATTCATTTTTTAGAAGTATCTCTTTTAACAAGAGAACTGTCTACAATATTTTTTACTTTTCCCTCCAAAATGAAAAAATCCATG